AAAAAAAAAAAAAAAAAAGAAGAAGAAGAAGAAGAAGAAGAAGAAGAGAAGAAGAAAGAAGAAGAAGAAGAAGAAGGAAAAGGAGAAGGAGAAGGAGAAGAAGAAGGAAATATGAACAATAAAGTGGCAATAAATACATGTCTATTAATAATTGAATCTAAAAAACAAAATAAACCAACAAGCAGAACAGAAACAGACTCATAGATACAGAGAACATTTTGATGGTTGCGAAATGGAAGGGGAGTAGGGGGATTGGTGAAAAAGGTGAAGACATTAAGAAGTACAGATTAATAGTTATAGAATATGGGGATGTAAAGTACAGCATAGGGAATTAGTTAATAATATTCTAATAACTATGTATTGTGTCAGATGGGCACAAGATTTGTTGGAAGGATCACTTAGTAAGTTATATAATTTCTAATCACTGGGGTGTACAGCTGGACCTAATATAATATTGTATGTCAACTAAATTGAAAAATAAAAATGACTTAAAAAAAAAAAAACAGAAACAACACCGCCTCATGGCTCTTCACAATATTTAAATTCAAATTCCTTATCATGGCTTACCACAGGGTCTGACCTGATCTGACCCTTGCTTCTCCCTCTGACTTCACTTTTTAAATAAAATATAATGTTTTGAGTTTTAATAAATTCATTATCTTTGTAAGCAGCACCATAATCAGTTTTAGAACACTTTCAACACCTCAAAAATGATCATGAGACCATTTTATGTCACTCTCTACTTTTCCCTCCAGGCATGGGTCATGCACAGATATGCTTTCTGTCTCCATACATTCACCTTTTCTGAACATTTCTTATAATTGAAGTGATTCAATATACAGTCTTTTGCACCTGACTTCTTTCATTTAGCATCATGTTTTTGAGATTCATCCATATAGTAACATATGTGACCATTTTATTCCTTTTTATATCTGAATAATATCTCATTGCATAGATTTATCACATATTGTTTATCCACTCACCTCTCAATGGGCATATGATCTGTTTTCAGTTTTTGGTTATTATGAATAATGCTACTGTGAACATTTACATAAGAGCCTTTTGTGTAGACACATGTTTTCATTTTTCTTGGGTACATTCCTAAGAGTGGTTCTATTGGGAAGTGATGTTTGTTAACTTTTTAAGAAACTCCCAAACTGATTTCCAAAGTGGCTGTACTGTTTTACACTCCCATCAACAATGTATTAAGGCTCTAGTTTCTCCACATTCTTGCCTATACCTTGTATTTTCTCTCTGATTATAACTATTTTAGTGCTTGTTCTACATCTATTGAAATGATCATGTGAATTTTGTCCTTTATTTATATGATACATTACATTAATTGATTTGTTTGATACTGAAACAACCCTGCATTCCTAGATAAATCTCACTTTGCCATAGTATATCATCTTTCCTATATGTAGCTGAATTCATTTTGCTAATACTTTGTTAAGGATTTTTTAATATATA